CCATCTTTCTCTTGTGACTACTTTGACTTCAATAAGGAATAAGGAAAACTAGATTTCAGGGTTAAAAACTAATAATAATCTGCATGCAAATTCGACCGATTGTACAGAGCATAAGAAGCGCTTATTCAGTTTCTTGCAAGATGTAAGAAGCTTTCTCTCTGCTTCAAATGTGACAAGCTGGAGCTGGGAGACGATTAGCTTAGCTTAGCACAAAGAGTGAAAACAGGGAACCAGAAGTGGTAAGTGTTCTGTCTTTCCTGGGCTTTAGGACTATTTCTTTGCCCTAAGACTTCCTCGTGTCTACATTGGATGCCTGGTGATCTCATAGTGACGATAAGGAGAATAAACAGAGCCAGACAACTTGTTTTATGCCAAGCTAAGCGAACCACCTTAGATTGAAATGTATTCAACAGCCTAAAGGTACCACTTCTTCACGGTGTCTCCTCAGAAACTGTGTGTACAGTTATGTCTGGGAGTAAACAGCCACGTGTCAATGAGTGCGAGCCCTTCCCTTCTCCATTTGCAAAAGATTGCGATGGCCAGCGCTGACTCACCTGCGGAGTAAATATCACAGAAACCAGCCCCCCGCTCTCCACTCACTCACCTCCTTCCCCACCCACTGAGTTCACCCTGCACTGCAGTTCAAAGTGGTTTTGCCTGTCTAGCCTTGGCGTTTAATGTTTAAGTATTGGGAGCGGCTGGAGAGTGCAAATAAAATGTCTTTACAGACTCCGGGGCACGCTGAGGGCTGTGATTCCAGATACTGTATTGTGAAATGTCCCATTGTGCTCCACAGAGGAGCCTGGGGGCACCTGAATCTGTTCAGCTGACTCCATAATGCTCGATGCGTGCGGCTTAGATAAACCACTTAGAGGGAATATTATTCAAACTTTATTATGCTGACAAAAGAGTACACATGTTCCCGGGACAGAAGGCAATGTGTCCGTGAGATTAAGTGTTTGCCAGAGCAGGATAAAGGCTTGAATGCAGACCCCACCTGCGAGAGAAAAACCACAATGAGTTGTACGGCTTTCTGTGGAGCAGGAAACTCTCAGAGAAACAACACAGAAAGCCTGACACTACTTATATGTTTGTGCGTGATTATTCTGTAGTTCTAATCCGTCTAACAATGTTACAAAACATTCAGACAGGAGGAGGCTTTAAAGCAGTAATTGGGGGGACTTACACGGGTAAAACTCCACTCAACCACTTCTAGTTGCTTCTCGCTCGTGCTTGACAGAAACTGTGGCACAAGAAATCAAACAAGGGTGTGGATTCGGTCTGATTTGAAGCGTATCTCTCAATCCTAGTTAATGTCGGGCTGAAGAGGGAGCTGTTTGAAGGAAGTGTGTGCAGATAAAGATGTCTCGCAGTGGATGAAAGGTCATGTTGTGTTTTTGTACAGGTTTGTGACAAAGAAGGAGCAGGAAAACTGATGAGTCATTGGCCGTTTTCACGCCTCATGCTGGATTAGCCATCACATGCGATAGCCTGCTTAATATGAATTGTGTAATGCCCCCAATCCCTGCAGAATTATTTCATTAAATCAGCCTTTGTTTTCTGTGTCACCATCATATTGCAAAGTCAATGGGAATATAACAGTACCAGAAAGTCACATGGCAAAGGAGCTCATTTAAATAGCTGGTTTTGGTGTTGGGTTGAGAGACATGTCCACACTCTGTTTGGCAGTGCAATGTCTTCATTATCTATAAATGGAGGCAAAATGATCCTATGGTGTCGTTTTTTAGAACGGTATCAATCAGAAGTTCATGTACTTAAGGATTTAGATTTACTGTTGAATCAGTCTGCTGTGATTTCCATTGACTTAAGTTGCTAACTCCACCCATCGAACGCTGCAGGAGGCCGAACCCAAACAGTGAAGTGTAATGTTTGCTGCTTTCCTCTGTTGGACAAACTCAAGTTCCGATGTGGTCTGTCACACCAGCACACCTAGCTCTTTGGGCTGCATTATTCATCGCAGCGTGTGCATTATTCATGTCTCTGAGCGTCGGATTTTGTCTCTTGGTTCGTTTGTTCAAGGCTGTATAATCACAATAACTGTTTTTTATCATCCTGTCCTTTTTTGGGATGCCTCACCTCTTCCTGTCTCTGTGGTTTTGATGGGTTTGTGTGGCATGCCAGGTATTATCTCAGAGCGGTGACACCTGGAGACTCTGACCCGAGGCCAAACAGCGCCTCCGGTGTCCCTCAGGGAACCAAAACCGCTGTCAGACCAGTGTTTGAACAGCACTTCTGCAGAAGCAACTGTCCAGTAAAGACATCTTCATGACATTTAGCAGAAAACTGAGGGAATTCAGAGATATGTGCACCGAGAGCAATATCTGCTTTGGGGTTAAAACGGCATTCTGCCAAGTGCACAAGCCCAATTCTTTAGCCAAGACTTGATGTTCATAGGCTCGCTGAGCGGCAGGTAGTCTCACCTGGCACAGACTGAAAACAGCAGACTGGAGGTCAGCCAGAGAGAGCTTTAATGAGACTGAAGCCACACCAAAGGCTGGCAGATCTGTCCTCGCTGCAGAGCACCTGTGCCACACTGTCAGCGTGATGAGAGCTAAAGGTGCTCCTCTTCCTGTAATTACTCCAACAGGAACACTGGGTTTGTTATCACACAAATCATTTGCCTTCCTGAAACATTTCACATATCTGCTTCTGTCTGAACTAAAGTGTGGTTTCATGGTGGCATGCAGTTTTAATCATCAATACTAAACAACTTAGTAATTGGCTCCAATCACAGGAATATAAGTATGTGTGTGTGTGTGTGTGTGTGTGTGTGTGTGTGTGTGTGTGTGTGTGTGTGTGTGTGTGTGTGTGTGTGTTAGGCTTGCTGATTGAAACAATATCTAATATAAGGGGGGAAATAATTACAGCAGAGTAGTGTGGCAGAAACCCCCTCTGCTGTGAGTACAAGAGGAAGTTACAGTTAGGCGCAAACACACACGTCTGCAGCAAATATAGCCAGTAAATAAAGTGGTTACCAAGGCTTAATCTGTCCGAGAGGTGGACTTTGGAAGGGAGTCATGTGTAGGAGAGCCTATGCATGATCATTGGTCCATAACAAATGCATTCAGAACATTGCAGGCTCTCAATATGCTTATGATAATAATTGGCCTCGTATGTTATTGGAGCAGGCCACCATACATCCTCTAATGCTTCATCTGTGTTGCCTTTCCCAACCTTCATTCTTAAGAAGTCTACTTCATTATGTGAGTCAGAGATATAGTGTCAAAAAATGGATTGCAGGAGATATTAAGATCATGCACAACATAGCACACAAACTGCCACTGCACAGATATTAGTGCAGGTTTATTTTCAAGTATTACTTAAGTGTATTAACTAAATAGAAGTGTGGAAAGAGAAAGCGAAACCTAGTATGTTTGATGGGATTTGTTTAGACTTTAATGAACCAAATGGTCCAAAACGTCTCCAAAGTCATTTCCATGCGGATATCCACGATGTTTTTAACATGATTCTACAGATAAGAAGCTATTTCCAATTCAAACACTCTCATTTAACACTTTGTACAGTAGCTAAACTGTTAATTGTGTTTATTTATTCATTTGGTGGATACGAGGTCACGGCAAAAATCCTTCAGCAGGAGTGCGCAGTGCGCGTCCACGAGTTTTATTCTCCTGTGCATTCTGTGCGGAAAGTTATCCCAGACGCAGTTCAATTAACACACACACACACACACACACACACACACACACACACACACACACACACACACACACACACACACACACACACACAGAGAGAGAAATCACTTCACCTAACTACCCTGCTTCAGATTGGATTCCAGCTCCTGTCTGTCCTTCTCTGTGAAACCTTGGAAAATGGGAGGGTGAAAAAAGAGGGTTTTATAATTGATGTTTTCCCATGGAGCAGCCCCTCCTCCCCGAAACACAGGCTCACCCTCAGGTGGAAGAAATCTTTTAAGGTTTTTTTGTGGGATAACATCAGGAGGGTTTGTCTAGGCGAGCCAATCAAATCCCTCCCCTGCTATAGATCGGTGCTATAATACAAAGCAGTAAAAGCGGTTGCCTCACACAGCCGGCTGCAGCTCGACCAGAGATCCCGTGGCTTTTAATTCCCTCACTACTTTTTTTTTTTCCTCCTTCGATGTGCCCCGTTATTACCATTTGTCGTTCATTTCCGCACCTGCCACAGTAGAGACCGGGCGAAAGGCGAAGTAGAGGAAGAGACAAGGACATTTCGAGAGGCAGACGGTTAGAGAGATACAGCGCGTGAGATCTTTAAAAAAAAAAAAGAAAAAGAAAAAGGACACAAAATGCTGCTGTGGACCAGAATCGTATTGGTCGGTCTCATCTGCTTGTCCTTGGTTTCCTCTGGGATGGGATGTGGACCGGGCAGGGGGTATGGAAGGAGAAGACACCCGAAGAAACTGACACCTCTTGCCTACAAGCAGTTCATCCCCAACGTGGCGGAGAAGACCCTCGGGGCAAGCGGAAGATACGAAGGCAAGATCACCAGAAACTCCGAGCGATTTAAAGAACTGACTCCCAATTATAACACAGACATCATATTCAAGGATGAGGAGAACACCGGAGCGGACAGGCTCATGACTCAGGTAAGGAGACAGAGTAATAATAATATATGATTCCCTGTGCTCTCCACCATCACTGCGCACTGCAACAACCTCCCTGTCAGACCCATTGCGCACCTTAAGTGAAGTGAACTCTTCACACTGAGCCTTTTAACTTCCCTGTAAAAGCTTTATATGCGGGGAGTTTGCAGAAAGGGTTGCAGGCTGGATGTAGAAATCCAGCTGGAGGAGAAGTGATGTGCACGCGGACAGTCAGGACACTCGGCCTTCATGATTGTGACAGTGTATTTAAAATATTAATGTGCCACTCTCCTCATATCTATATTTGTATCTTTGTGAGGCTTTATTTCTTATTTTGCGCCGCGCACACTCCTACATTTCAGTCAGTGAACGCATGTATTTGTTGGTAATTTAAATTCTTTATTCTAAGAGCTGGTGGATGCGCACCGCTTCAAACAGCCGGGGTTATTCAGGCATGGCGTGGCTCATACAGACATTTTCTCGCACAGGCTGCTGTAATTTAGCCTTTCGCTTGGTGTGCAGCAGTGCATGGAAACAGTGACATGTCTTTGAGAGTGTTCAGGACTTCATACATGGGTGGGACTCAGTTGGGGGTGATGGAGCCTCACTTGATGATGACATCTTTATTGTAATGCTTAGTTATCAGTGCAGACATAAGACGAGGCTCGCAGAGAGATGGAGATGTCTTTCTTTCTGCAGGAAGAGAAGCCGCGTCTCTCCGGCATGAGCATGACTTTTAGCACTCAGATGCCGGTGAATTATTAAAGGCGCTTGGGTGATATTGGCTCAGTAATAATAAAATGCCGGTGGTGATGGTGGTGATGAAGCCATGCGCGCTCCGGAGTCCCTGAACCCGTGCCTCGCGCCATGCATGAGCACGATGAAATATTCACTGTGCGTGCGGTCTGTCTCCCCCCTCCCCTACATCTCTTCTGACATAAACCTATAGCTGCTCATACGGGAAATTACAAGGGGGATGTGATGCCCAAACTGGGGGTTTCAGGGTAATCCAGCAGAGAAGATGGATAGTGTAGTTAAGGCATGTCTGGGGATATTGAGTAACATGTGTATGCAAGGCTTTTAATCTGAGCCGAACACACCACCTGCTGTATAAACAGCTGTGTTTACAGGTCTGTGAGGAATAATGCAAACGAGGTGGGAGTCTGTCGGATAAAAGGTGATTATTTAGAGCATATGTGGCTGAAGTTTGGCTATTTAGGAGCTTTAAATGTCCTTTTTGGCAGCTGGTTTTTTGTTTAACAGATTCGCCTATTTGTTAGTTTTGGTTAATCGTCCACTTTGCACTCCGTTTACAGAAAACACAACAACAGGCGCTAATGTGACATGTGCATAAAAGGGGCTTTTTTTAGCCTCCCCTCACTGATCTTGTAGATGCAATTTGAACTTATGACCTTTGGTCAGCGGGGGGCCAGAGTAACTTAAAACAGGTGAAAGTCTTCTAATCGTGCATGACATTGTAAATCCAGCAAATTAGGCTTTGTACATCCAAAAGAGAGGCACTGTAGCTGCGAGGAAGGCGACTCTGCCAGTGGCATAAGCATTATCACATGGGGAGTTACGCTGTGCCACGGCTTTACGCATGAACCTCTTGGGGTTTTACGCAGAGAATTTTACGCATGAAAATAGTAGACTTTCCTTGTTATCTTTGGTTCTAGAAAATAGATGTCGGAGTGTTACATGAAACGTGTAACGTAATTAGTTAAATTCACTGAGGTCCAGCCAAGACTGTAATATTTGAGATTTGAAAGGAGCGCTGAAACAGCTCACTGTCGGGAAAGTTGCCAACAGAGGCGTTTTACAGACAATTAAAGATAATGATCCCATTAATACCAGCGTTTAATCCACTAACGATAGCTTAATGGTTAGTAGTTTAATACTAATATGTGCTTCGATTGCCTCTTGAGGAGAGGTGAGGTTCCTAATCTCCTAAATTCAACGAGTTTCTAAAGACGTTTCAAGACACCTTATAAAGCCGAATAAAGTGCTCCAGTAAAACCCTTTATTTTCCCTGGTTAGTTATACTTCCTTATACTCCTTCTTCCCGCAGTGTAGCTCTGTTGAGAGTCTGTGTCGGGAAGCTTGTTTGCACTGACAGGTAGCTGATAAGTGTTTCCTAACCAAATCATTTGTGAAAAGATTAAGAGGGAGGCTGTTGAACAACCTTACCCCGAGCACAAAGCTTCCTGCTGGGCTTCACGGTGGCTGAGCAGAATTTGGCTTGATTTGCGGCACACGACCTAATGAATTAATAAATAGGTTAAGCTTTACGGCTCTTGACTCCGACAATCCCACTCAGAATGTGGGAGGGTTTCTTTTTGGAAAGGGGGGGCTGGGGTTTTTCCTTTTTAAAAAAAAAATATATTCAACACATTCTACAAGTGTGATATCCTCATAAAACAGATATATGTGGACGAGTTTTTTGGGTTTGTGTGAACATTCCTGCGCATAAAGGGACGATTCTCTCCATCCTGTGGATATTTCACAGGTCTGTCAGTCAGAGAAACAGCCAGACTTAAGGAGGCATGTCACGTCTGCCAGACTGTGCAGGAGAGGAAGAATGAAAGCTCCCTGAAAAGACCCTTTGTGATGTTTTATTTGACATATTGCTCGAGTGTCGAGAATAGTTGTCTTGGAGAAGGCCAAGCATCTTCATTCAGAGAGAGGACGATTTATTTATAGGACAAACTCCAGCTGCTCTTGAAGATCACCTTCATATCATCTGCATATCAATTATTGATTCAAAGCAAACAGACAACCCAACAAAGGATTTCGTTCATTCCATGGCCTAATACAAGCTCATGAATTTGTAATGTATGCATGTTCAAAGACACACTTTTTGGGGAGAAAAGGGTGCTTCTGCTCGCACCTTTCCAAGACCAAAAGACCCCATGTGTTATAGGCCAGTGAAGCGAATGCGGTGCCTTATCAATATTTCATCACAGCTCTCCTATCCGAGATGTGCCCTCTGCTGAGCTCAGATTCAGACTCAGGGTTTCACCTCAGTGATTTCTAATCGTTGAGGGCTGCGGAAATCAAGCAGATGTGTTGCGCATGTGGTCCAGTTGAATTCTCCTTCATTCTTCCATCAGTGGTGGAAGAAGTGTCCAGAAGAGTTACTTAAGTAAAAGGAGCAATGCTACATTTGTTCCAAGTAAAAGTTCTGCAATCAAAATCTTACTTTAGTAAAAGAATAAAAGCATCGAAATATACTTAAAGTACCAAAAGTAAAAGCACTGATTATGCAGAATGGCCAATTTCCGAAAAGGTTAGACATTGATTTACTCATGATTATTCATGTCTATCACAGCTGGTAAAGGTGGAGCTAAGTTCATTTAAAAATTGATATATATTTAGTAATAGCTAATCAAATAAACCTAAAAGTAACTTTCAAATAAATGAAGTGGAGTCAAACGTACACAATTGGCTTCTAAAATGTAAGTATAAAGTATTATTTAAGTACAGTACTTGAGTAAATGTACTTTGTAACTATCTAACACTGCTAAAGATGAATACTAAATATATTTTAGTCAATAAAAAGCACCTGTTAATTGTTACAAAAGCACTTGTGTCGATGCAAATGCTGCGTTTGATTCAGACGCTTCCACATTTTACGCATCTAAACGAGCCATCCATGGCACAACAGGTGACCAACTGGTCCATTTCTCCGTCTCTGCACAGATGTAAAGACAAGCTGAAATCTCTGAAATATCAAATTGTGTGAATGGAAAAGTGGCTTAGTGGCAAAAGCTGCTTTTAAATCTTTTATGCATCTTGAACTTGCCATCCAGTTGACTAATCGGTTCATTTCTCCCTGAGACGTAAAGACCGCGAAATCAAATCGTGTCAATGCAAAAGTGGCTTAGGGACAAAAGCTGCTTTTAAATCAACACTTTTATGCATCTAAAACTTGTCATCCAGCTGACTAACCGGTGCATTATTCGGACCCCGCAGAGATATAAAGACAAGCTCAAATTGTGTCAATGCAAAAGTTGCTTAGTGGCAAAAAAAGCTTTTAAATCAGACTTTTTCCACATTTGACGCATCTAAAAAAATAACTTCCAGATGACTAATTGTTCCATTTCTCCGTTTCTGCAGAGATGTAAAGACAAGCTGAACTCTCTGGCCATCTCAGTGATGAACCAGTGGCCCGGGGTCAAGCTTCGGGTCACGGAGGGCTGGGACGAGGACGGGCACCACTTCGAGGAGTCGCTCCACTACGAGGGCCGAGCCGTGGACATCACCACCTCGGACAGAGACAAGAGCAAATACGGAACTTTGTCCAGACTGGCGGTGGAAGCGGGATTCGACTGGGTCTACTACGAGTCCAAAGCGCACATCCATTGCTCTGTGAAAGCAGGTAAGGATACGAGATGAGAGGAAGTGGCATGCGTAATATGGCTGAGGGAGGAAAAGAGAAAAAAGTCAGCTTTATTTCCGTCAGGTGCGATTTAAAAAAATAGCAGGTGCAGATAGTAGACGTGCGTCATCTCTAAGAAAACGTTCAGGTGCATCCCAAGTGTCCAAAAACCTCTGATCTCCGTAAGAAAAACGCGTAAAATGCGATAAAATCTGTCTTTATATGCGATTTTATTGACCAATAAACTAAAATAATCATCCACTTATTGATTATTTAAGTACGTTAATTCATGTTTTGGTTTCAGGGTGATGTAATTGGAGTCTAGAGATTAATTTTGAGAGATTTTTTGTGTTACAAAATAAATTCCTATGAATGATGAATGGGCACATGGCGCGTTATTTCCCATGCAGTTTATTTCCTGATCTTACATCGCCCCACACTGTCTCCTGGTGGGAAACACGACTATAATCCAACGGTGTGACCTAGAAACATCATTTTATACTCTAAAATAAAAATAAAAGTAAGGAAGTTGTGAGGGTTTTGAAGTTATATATTTGATTTACGACGAAAAAACGAACAAAATCGATCTTTTTCTTTCGGACTTAACGTGAAATCTAGGTTTAAATATTATATGATTTTTAACATTTTAGCTACTTTTTGGATAGCTTTACAGGCCTAAGGCACACCTAGAAACTATATTTCTCCACGCTGATGGATGATCCGTGCTCTTCTCCCCTCTTTATTGATAAATCCCTTACTTATCATTCCGCACACACGTCTTGAGATCACAGTATGGCTCTGGCCGACGTGTCATTTGGGGTCATGCGACTTTACCAAAAGGATTTGCCCGAACAATGTTGAATTGGTTTGGGGTAAATCTGGTGCTCAGTTGTCACCTTATTTCATGCTCGGGAATCTTAAAAGAAGATTAAAAGCCCCCCAAATTGCGAGCAGGAAACCCCCTTTTTTCTGTGTGCGGGACAGTGTGATCCTATAGAGACTGGTTGGTATGTGAAGAGCTCCACCAAGGCCAACATTATTGTCATGAAGCCTGACAACAAAGCGCCAGAGAGAGGGCACATTGATGTTGCACAACAGAAAGCATTTAAGAGTGCCTCATTTAAATTCAAATCTACGACTCGAGAGGCTTGGAAAAGTGGCTCCGCTGGGTAAATAGTAGTTTGTGAGTCGCCTATTTGTGTGAATTGTCACATGGAGGTTTCTGCACCTGAGTAAATATGGGAAGAGAAGCTGGGAAAGGCGTAAGTGTTCTTTACCGATCCACAAGCTGATTTAGAATAACAATGGCTGCTCTTTATTGGGTTTTTTAATTAAGAATAGATGAGCCAAGGCTTTCAGTTTTCTCCGTCTCAGACAACCAAAGCCAATACGCATTTGGCACGGAGCAGCAGACATCATTATGCAAAATGCATACGGCCCACCGTGATGTTCAGGAAAACTACAAATACAAGCAGGAAAAAGGAAGGTTATTGAATGGGCTTTTGAATAGGGAGGGGATCCTGAGCTGTGATGGCACCTGTGAGTTTATTTAGTTATAAGCAGAGGTGCAAGAAGAAGTATTCAGAGGCTTTACTAGAGTACGTTATTGTCAAAATACAAGTACTTTCACAATCCTACTTAAGTACAAAAGTATTATCAGCACTATGCACTTAAAGTATAAGTTAGTAATTGGTTATTCTGCAGAAAATAGTCCTTTATGTGTATTTAATTATATTTATATATGTGACAAACTTTATGAACATTGTATGCGTTGAATTTGTTTGTTTTTGTTTGTAGATGTTGCAGTAAACAAATACAATAAAAAAAAAAAGTATTTAAAGGGCGGATCCTAAATCAAACTGGCATCTGTAATGTGTTTAGGTATAAAAATAAGTTTTAAAGTGCAGTTTTATGAACATTTGATTTGATTTTGTTATACAATGTTGCAGTACCATAGTGGAATAGTTGATAGTCTGTTTTATGGTGTTAAAAACTGTATTTTAAGCAACACAATGTTTTATTTTAACAGAAAACTCAGTGGCTGCAAAGTCAGGCGGCTGCTTCCCAGGATCCTCCACGGTCACCCTGCAGGATGGCACCCAGAAGCCGGTCAAACTCCTCCAGAGCGGGGACAGGGTCCTGGCAGCGGATGCGCACGGAAACCCGATTTACACCGACTTCATCATGTTCATAGACCAAGACTCGACCACCAGGAGGCTTTTCTACGTGATCGAAACCGAGTCGGGGGAGAAAATCACCCTCACGGCAGCTCACCTGCTGTTCGTGGGTCAAAACAACACCGAAAACACGGATGAAATGTCGGCAGTCTTCGCCAGCCAGGTCCGAACCGGACAGACGGTGTTCGTGTTTGACGCAGAGAGACGTCGACTGGAACCAGTGTGCGTAAAGCGGATTTTTACGCATGAATACGAGGGCTCTTTTGCACCGGTGACCGTGCAGGGAACCGTGGTGGTGGACCAGGTCCTTGCGTCCTGTTACGCAGTGATCCAGGACCACGATCTGGCGCACTGGGCTTTGGCACCAGTCCGGTTCTTCTACTGGGTGAACTCGTTGCTTTTCCAGCGTCCAACCAGTGCCCAAACCGATGGGGTGCACTGGTACTCCAAGATCCTTTTCCAGTTAGGAACATGGCTCTTGGACAGCCACTCGATCCATCCACTTGGGATGTCAGTATACACGAGTTGAAACCTCTAGGAGAAGACTTAAAAATGTAGGACACATGAACTATTCAGTAGATTAAAAAAATAATAATAATAATTAAAAAAACGAACATACAAGACAAAAGGCCCCCAGTGGAGACGGGATATTTATTTCAGTGACTTTTTCCATGTGTCCCCCTTTCAAAGAATGAATGGAGCCTTAAAAAAGTTTCTCTTTGAATAATTTATTCTCATGTGAACTCGCTGCTGTCACACACAAATGGATTCTGAGACGACGGGTGTGTGTGAGCAGCAAATTGTGCATAATCTATTTTTGTATATCTGAAATGCAAAAAACTGAAAAAACAAGGAAAAAAAACGACGAAAAAAAAACATGAAAAAATGTCGCAAAGAGAAAGAAGAAGAGTAGAAAAGGAGCTAACTATTGACAGGTTGTAATGTTCATATGTGCATAAATGTGTGCAACTGACTGTTATATTTTGGGGAGAAACAAACTTCGCGGGGTTCCATAAATTATATTTTTATACACAGAATTGTAAATTAGATTTTGACAGATCGCTACCGAATCACATTTCGTTATTTGAAATAGTGTAAGATATGAGAATATATTTTAATTTAAATACAGTAGTTGGGAAAGTATTGGAAAAAATCTTGTACTGCTTTGGTTTATTTTAAGAATTTTATTATGTTGGAAACTGTTGGTTTTAAGTTGTCGGAGAGGGACAGATATTCTGCCTCATGTCTGCATTTTTCTCTGCTTTTCCTTTCTGTTGTGTTTCTATTTCTCCTGTTTTCTTCTGAGAAAAATATTAAATGCAGATTCTGACAATTCAGTAAAATCGTCAACAAAGTAGAAACAGTTTCGTTAAATAAATTAATAAGTAACTCCTGTAAATGTACTAAAACAAATGTATTTTTCTTTTCATATTTTGTAATAGGGAAATAGTTTTATAGAAATGACCTGCGGCAGATGCAAAGTTTGGATAGTCTATATATAGCCAGACCATAACTTTCATAACAGGGCGATGCGTCAAAATGTCTAGAGTTTATTATTTATATGTTTATTACAAAATGAGATAAAGAAAATCTTCAAACTTGCAGTTGTTACATGTCTTTGTCTGAGTGGGATTCACAGAAAAAACGAACATTTTCCGCTCAAATTAAAGTCTAAAACGAGTTGTTGGAACACAGGTTTTTATTTTTGACGAGTTTTCTAACGAACACAGCTTTATTTGTGGTGTAATTAGCATATAACACGTCGTTTAAATGCTAATTGGATACGTTTGGGAAAGCTACAGCAAACAATTTCGCCCCCTGTTTGCAAAAGGCTTTAACAAAATGGAGGAAATATGGCGCTTTGAACTACCTTTTGCATGCTTGCGAAATGTTGAGAGCCCATGTCAGATTTAACGAGGTTTGCCCTCCGCAAATACCTCCTAACTTGGAGACAAATTAAACACAAGTGTGTTTGTTGGCCCTGCGTGGAGGTCACATTGCAGTGACTGACAGAAGAAGAAGAAACGCAGCCGGTGTCTAAATCACAGCTTAGTAAAAAAACATTTCTCAATCTTTTTACAAATCGCTATAATCTACCAATATTTCCACAGTGACTTAAGTGGGTGTAATGGGGAGGTTTTAGTGCGTCTTCCCGTTGTTTTCTGTGGTATTAGAAGGATTTCCAGCATTGATTTCAGCACCAGTGACTATTTTTAAGTTGTACAAGGGCGACACCATGTGGTCAAACACAGGTACTGCAGCTGGAAATGTTTTGACGTTAAGGTGTTGCTTTTTCTTTCTTTTTTTTGACTACAAATTAAAGACAGAAAGCATCTACTATTTATGAGTTCAAGTTCATTATTAGGCAGATGTAGAAGTCTATGAAGCAACAGCTTTCAATAAAGTTGTAAGTTTGATCCAAACTAAGCAGAAATGCAACTAAATTAAGTTTTTCTTTAAATGGAAATTGACTAAAAATCAGACTGAAAGGATATGCATGTACCATTTACAAGTACATTTCTAAATAAGTTAAATTGTAGACAGATGTATGGGTAAGTAGAGCAAACTGAAGCAGCTTTCAATAAAGTATTTTAAGTAGAATTATAAGATATATTTAAATACAAAAAATGCAGGTATAGCAGATCAATAATGCTACGAAATGATACAGCTAGGAGTTTTAAAATAAAATGGATATTGACTTCAAATCAGAGACAGAAAGGATCAGTAACTTAATAAGTTCATTAGTGGGCAGATGTATAAGTTCACTAAAGTAGTTTTCAAGTTTGAAGCAAAACTAAGCCGCACAAATGCAAATGAATTACCAAAATATGTTAAAACACAAATGAATGACATATCAAAAGGTAAAAAGGGGGCATTGAACCTGAGGTTTTTTTGCAGCAACATGAGCAGGAATGCCGTTTCCTTCTCTCACATTGTGTTGTGTTGTTGATACTGAGAGGTGGAAACTTCGGGGAGGGACAAAGCGAGCACATCTCTGTGACCTTGGGTCTCTGGCAGATACAAAAGCGTCCGTGCAGGGCAGCATTCCTCGGAGCAGGTAAACAGAGCCTCCTCTAATCCCTCCGGGGGCCCAAAGTCTGCCGCAGCTCAACCACGGCTCTTACAAACGTTGACATTTGCAAACATGAAGAGTCTGGCATTCTGGAAAACAAAAAGAAGAGTCCCTCCGCGGTTCTTTCAAGGCAGCATTCACTCCTCTGAGGTAAGAAAGCAGCAGAGCTCAAGAGGAGGGGAGAAGAAAAACACATTTTCCAAGGATCCAACACACCTTTACTTACGGCCTCCTCCCTTACTGTCAATACACTGAACACAGACACCGAGTTACTCAACTAGACACGTGTAAGCGTTGCAAAACACTCAATAAATAGTCAGACAAATGGCTAGATAGACTAAGGATAGACGTACGAATGGATAGATCCTACGTCTCTTACTAAAAGAGAAACATTACACTTGCTAGAATATTTTATCCAAAGAGACTTCCATACTCAGTACTGTGGACAATCCCCACAAGAGTAATTTGGGGTGAAGTGTCTCAGGGACACATCGACATGCTGACTGCAGTGGGGTTTGAACCTGTGACCCCCTGATCCCAACACCAACGCACAACCCACTGCACCACACACCTCCTCCAACACAAGAGAGAATAAGACGATTCAAACTTATAGATTTGAATTATTTCTGAGATCTCATTAGCGTCCATGTTGGTGCTCAAACCTCTTGGACTGCATCAACGTACTTTATCAAAACATCAACATTTTGGTCCTTTTTAAAACGATATCTCACATAAGTCTTTCGTGTAGCACGTGCAACTTTTGACAGAGTAGTTTGAGAGGTGGAAAGATAGTAAATGGTGTAAAAAGTGTTATATTACATCCAAGTAGACCCTTTTTCAAGACGTTTTCCGCCCCTTAGCATTCGTACAACATCAGATGAAGTAAATCTGAGTTTTAATAGAAGTAAACATGGATAGATTTTTACTAAAAGAGAGAAACAAAGGACTCACGGACGAAGAAGGTAAAACTCTTAGATTGTGAGTTCCCTTTAGCTTCCATGTTGTTGCAGTCATTGACTTGTTGATGCTCGAGGTCTCAAATCTCTTTAAAACACATAAAAAACAACAACATTTGAACACATGAAACGTTTTGAAGACTTGCTGGATGGATCTGAGTGTTGGAAAGATATTACATGGTGCAAAAAAGTAGGAAAATGCTGTTAAACTACCAAAAAAGTAGATGATTCCCCTTTTTTACGACATTAGATAAGGTCCTTTAATAGCACTTGTTGCAAATATAACATGTGGAATCAGTGGCGAGGGGTTGCAAGCGGATACAGCGTTATGTAACCCTCCTGTTGTCTTCGTTTCTTTCTTTACTTTGGTGTTCACGGTCAAATTTGACCGGTCCTCTTTTAACTGCTATCACATTAACACAAAAACCATTAATCATTACCAAATTTCATTTAACACCCTTTCAAACTGTACATTGTATCAGACTACTGGTGTACATGAAACACTGCAGTAAATATACAAAGAACAGACACTGAACATGTATTGTGTTTGCCAGGTGTGATTAACATGGGGGGGATGGGCATATAAGGGGGGGGGACACATCTTGAGTATGTATGTATGTATGTATGTATGTGTGTGTATGTATGTGTGTGTGTGTGTGTGTGTTATCTGATACGGATGGTTACCAATTCCTTTATGGCGGTCATTTTTGACCGGGAACACCATGGGTGTTACAAAGTTGACTAAATCATCCAAAATGAAAGTGGTGATCAGCCATTGTAT